AGAGCAAAGAGATCCCTTTGCAATGGGGCTGGTGGCTCTTTGGGTTAGCTCAGCTGCAAGAAGTCTGTTTATAAAATGACACTATTGTCTCTCTACAGTGCATAGACATACACATTTTTCTGCTCTGCATGGAAAAATACACCCAGAAAATGACGGCTGTTTTGCCTGCAGCATGCTGCATGCTTGCAGTAGTGTGATATTTGTTTGAGGCCGTACCTTGATTGCTTCTGTTTAATCCTGTCAATAAAACACAGGGAATATTCAACGTCATCCAGAAAAATCCACGTGACCTACAATTATGGTAACTTTAGGTTGAACTTCTGCATCTCTTGAATGATTTTCTGGTGTGAGTAATGGCATTTCTGTTTTGTAATGCTGTTTTAGACATATGCAGAACTCAGCACTATATTTTGGCCATCCTCTGGATGTCTGCCTGCTGTCTGTTTCATGGAAAGAGAGGCAATGGCCCTGACTCCCACCCTTGATGGGCCCCCGGTGGCAGCGGTGTCACTGCTGCCTCTGGATGTCAGCAGTGAACTATCTTCCATGCAGAGACTGTGCTGACCGCAAGGAAACTGGTCTGCCTTGCCCTGTAGGAGCCTGTGCCATGGTGAAACAAACCATCAGAGCATGTGTGCACTTAGGAGGATTTCCTGAATTTCTAGACCACATTTACACCCCGTTTCCATATTTTTTCACTCAAAATGTCATACTTAGATGTTAGGAAAAATAATAGAATCTCACCCTGAAGGGTGACTGGGAGAGATGGAGATGTTGATGTTAGAGGAGTCCCTTGGGTTTTGTTGTGGCTGCAGCTTGTCGAGGAGCTAAAACAATGGAAATTTGACTTCAAAGTCCAACCTTTTTGTGAGGAAGGAGGCTGGGTTTCACCCTGGTCCTTCATGGTCCACATCTGTCCCTTGGCATGTCCACCAGAGCACAGAGCATTGCAGAGTTCATCCACACAGAAGGTTTCGGTGAATGTGCTGGGTACTGCTAGCCACAGCTGGTGACCTTGGTGCAGTTGTGACACGTTTCATCCACCATAACCAGTGAAGGAAACAGCAGGGAACCCAAAGAAGTTAGCAGTGGTGACAGACTGACTTCTTAGGCAGGATGCCAGTAACCCCCTGGTTATTAATAGGGGGAACAAATGCTTTTGCTTAAGAATGGAGCAAATTGAATGAAGAAATAGAGTCATTTTAGAGATTAGAATTGAACTATGACATGCTTTATTAAAAAGAAAAGGAAAAAAAAACTCTATCTGGAGAACTAACTTTGCAATGCTTTGATTTTTCTCAGTGTATTTCCATTAAATTACACAAATACATAAAAGCTAGTGCCTCTCACTTTTCCTCTTTTTTTTTAATCCAAGATAAAGATCTGAATTACAGTAAATTGCCGTGCAATTGCTCCAATGCAGAAACAACTTAATGAAGGTTTTGTAAATAGCAGATAAGCATGAATCAAATATTTTTACGTGACATAAGAAAAGGAACATTCTAAACAGTTAAATCTATTTTTAAGCAAGTACGTAAGCAACATTCTTTTTTTTTTCTCTGCTAGATTTATTGATAGTTATTATTTTCTCCAAAAACTTTAAAGCATGGTTAGTTTACTGTGTTCGTATCTAAATACCGTATGTTACTATTTGTCCTAGAGGCCTGGGAACACCAACAGATGCCCTTTAAACTGTGGTTGTACAGTAGCTACCTCTTTAAGCACTATCTTTTTGAATAAGAAAAGCAAACAGCTGCTTAACTGAATTGAAAAAAATGATGTTCTTCTAAGGCAAGGATCTGTGAAAAAGCATATTCTAATTGGAGGTATTATTTTCTGCATAATATATGGGCAAAATCTTTAAAGATCCCCCCTCCCACCCACCGCACATTTTCTTTTTAGGTAATTCCCTGGCCTAAAATGAGTCGGACAAGTAATACGTAATTGTACAAAAATGAAGCTAGGCCGTCCAGATAAGCAGACTGTTTCTTTGTCTGTGAGAGACCAGATGCTTGCCAAGCCTGCTCCGAAACATACGGATAGGATTTATGAACATAAAGAGCTCCCTCTGGGGCTCGTTAATATCTGCAATTAGTTAAAGTGGAAGAAATGAACATGGTCACATGTGGAAAACAATCTAATTTCTCAGTGATGTGAGAACCACCCTTACGCCGTTTCACCCAAACCCTAACTATATAAAATTGTTGCTTCATAAAACAGGGCCTTCCTACTGTAGCTTTAATGCCATTGCCCGTCTTTGTTGTGTGTATGTATGCATGTATTCCTTTGATGTTGTTTGCTACTTTGATTTTATTTACTTATTTATTTATTTTCTAAGCCCTGTGGCACTCAAGTAATCAAGATAATCAAGGCTATCCTGCATTACTTTTTGATGTCATCATGCAAAGCACTTGGCTATTTCATCTAAGTAATCCAGGGGCACCGGAGATGCTGTCGAAAGTCTTCGTGGATGTGACTGAGTAAATGAAGTGTGGTCCTTCTCCGGAGGAATCCTTTTATTAGCTGGAGCTGGAAAAATGCCAGCTCCTGCTCCAAACCCAGCTGGCTTGGTAGGCACAGCCTGCAGCAGCGGCGCAGCAGTTTGCTCTGGGCAGGATTTAGGGTTTGGGTTGGTGTCGCGATACTCGATTTCTAGCTATGCTCTTCCCTGTTGGAATCCACCAGTTTATGGTGGTATAACGTGAACTCATACTAATATCAGTTAAGCCACAACAGGCAAAATGCTTTGGACGGAAAGCTGTACGAGATAATCCAGAGGAAACAAATGCTGGGTGTTTGATAATAAAATGAACAATAAATTCCTGTCTGTGGGGGACCTGCTCCCTGCTGAATGGAGCAAGGCAATTGAGCAAGTTATTACTCACAAGATAGGAAAATGACAACCTTCTGCTTCATGTGTCATTTAGCTGTTGCCAGAGGTCTGTTCTTCTGCCTGCACAGTGCTACTGTGTACCTTGTGTCACCTCCAGCAGTGCTCCGAGCGTAAATCAGAACATATTTTGTCTATGAACCAATCAAGAATCTACCTCTGCACCCCTATATTTTTGTGCTCGGTCAGTTACAGAGGCATCAAAAAGGCACTAGAGGTGCCTTTCATTAATGTGGTGGGGCTGAATGATGGAGAGAGGAAAGTGTGTGGAGAGAGGGGATTTTCTTCCTCTCTCCATGGGGCCTGAAGTTATTTTCCTCCACATCCAGAGTGAATATCTTGGCCCATGCCTGTTCATTTCTATTTTGGGTTGAGTGCAAGGTGAGTTTAGCCACCCAAAGGCCTGAGATCCCTTGGACTAGGGGAGGGCAAAGCTTTTGGGAGGGGGGTTGCTGCTCAGCCAGGATAGACAGGTGTCTCCTCAATGGCCTGTTGCCCAGAGCTTTCCACCCAAATGAGTGCCACAAGCTCCAGCCCACTCAGCTTTCCTCTTACTGTCGCCTGCATCATTACCCAATTCAAAGTGGAGTAGCTTCTGCTGGAGGTTTCAGAGCGACCCACTCCGAGTTGTATTTAAATAGCTGGAGGAGCCATATGGGACCCGCACATAAAAATCCCCTTGGGCAAGTAAAAGAGCATCCACTTGCCATTCTTGATGACATGAGAGAGAACCACTGTTTTCTCCTGCTCGTGTTTCATGCAGAAGGCCCATTCCAGCCGGTGTCTTGAAAAACATCTAGAGGGGTCCTACCTGAGAGGCACATGGGGGTGAAATGAGGCTGGTGATTTCCATCTCAGGCCTGGGGCCCCAGAGAGACCAGTCTCACCAGGATGAGTACTCAGGTTCTGGCTTTCTCCAGGTGGCCAGATGTGGACCAGCTTGAGCACACGAGGCCGAGTATTTGTATCCTACAAGCACAGCATGTGCAACTGCCGACTGCATCCTGCGTGGGAGTTAAACCAGGATGCCCCGTATCCTTGGGTGATCCCAGCACGGATGTTGTGTCCTCCCATGCATCTCACTGGGGCCAGGCTGTGCCTTGGACTGGTGAAATAAATGAACTTTGTCACCTGCAGCACAGTCCCCAGTGTGACACTGAGGCCTGAATACAGCCTTTTGCGTCCCTCCAGACAGCACGGGCACAGGAGTGGTTTAGAAATGATAATAATAACTACAATATTAATGTTTCTCATCTGCTACAAACTAAAAACTGAATTTTCAGCTTATTACATTTTCTTCAGTGTTATTCATGGCATGCTTTTTGGGGTGAGTTTCCAATGCTCTTTAATGGGGAACGCTACATGCAGCTGTGCAAACAGGCCGAGTAATCCCAGGGAATAAGATGCTACTGGATGGGAGCCAGTGTGTCGGAAATGTGTCCTGAATGACTGTTTGTACCAGAAAAACGGATGCCCTGCTTCCCGTTCATTACAATCTCATCAGTTGCTGAAATAAGTTCAAAGTAACTTGTGTTTAAACTGTATTTAAAAACTGTTATAAATACTGATAAGATTCTTTTTTTAGGAAAAACCTTTACAAGCTATTATCTACCAGATGTTTTATTCCAACATTTTTTTCAGAAATTGCTCTAACATTTGTGTCCCATGTCAGACCCATTTTTATCCTAACAATAAGAAGACATGCCAAACATTGTACCACAAATTTATTTTTATCACTTAATCCTAAATCTGAAAAAAAAAAAAAAAAAAAAGCTTTAGGCCTGGAAATGCTTCTGGAATCAGCTCCAGACTTAGCTCTTAGCTCTTCCCATCATGATGGGTCACAAAGGAGGTGCCAGGCTGAGGCATTACTCACGTAAGCAGGGCAATTATTTGGACAGGTAGAATTGGCACGCGAAGCCATAGCTACATGACAGCGAAAATAGGAGTGGGATGCCTAAGCTGCACAGGCGTTGCCGATGCGCAGGTTACGCCGCTCTCCCGTGTTCGAAAGCTCATAGAAAAGCGGTTTCAGGAGCCTTTCCAACGTCATCTCAATTCTGGAATCAGCAGATTTGTTTGCCTTGACATCGCAGCGTGTTAGCCAGCATCAGGCCCGCAGCATGGGGCGTCCAGCGCCTTCCCCGCAGCACTCGGAGAGTTTCTTCACCGCCCGCCGCGTGAAGTCCACCTTCCCCCTCTCCTTCTTGAGGGCCGTGTACTCGTAGGCCTTCAGCTTGCTGTAGTAGTCTGAGAACTTGTTGTAGAGGATGGAGATGGGCATGCCGTTCAGGATGATGCCGAAAGCAATGCAGAGGAAAGCAAAGAGGCGGCCGAGGTGGGTCTCTGGGCACATATCGCCGTAGCCCACCGTTGAGATGCTCACCTGCGGGCAAACCAGCGTTAGGTGTGCTAGCCAAGGGTGGCCATCCCCTTGTCTAGGTGTGCTCACAGACAACTTAGAAGTTAGCACTGTTGTGCTTTGGGTCATAAACCCAAAACACTGGCTTTCTTCTGTGCCACCTGTCTTCCCTCTGTTAAAAAGAAAATCCTTTCTTACACTAGTGAAAAAAAACAGTGTGGTTGCAGAGAAGTGTTTTGTTTGTTTGTTTGTTGGTGTTTTTTTTTTTGAAAGCTTTGTCTTGCAGAGGAAATTTCCAAACAAAATTCCCAGCCATCCTGCCCAGTGGGGGGGTTTTCCTGGCCAGGGTGAGCAGCTCGAGGTG